AATTAAATGATTTTAGAAAATGATAAAATAAGACCTTGGGTAATAATAAAAAAATTTATTAACCTTGTAGTATATGTCAAATAGATATGCTGGGCCTAACAATCTGTATACATTCCTGTGAAACTGTACAACTACAACAGGTAGTTATACATTTATTACAATTTATACATCAGCATTGAATATATTTACCTTTGAGTTTTGAGGTTGCCAGATCACTACTAAGGTTGATGAGACGATGTTCAAAATTATCCGAATCTAGTTTTCGTCTTTTTTTGATCCAATTAGCAATTGTATTATATGAATAACAATCAAAGATCAATGTTGATAATTGCTTGTGAAAATTAATGTGTTTATAGATGAGGGATGAAACCCCTTAATAACAATTAAAACTTAGACGAAATTATATTAAAATCATAATAAGGGATACGACAAAATCCATTCGATATGATGAAAGCTGAAACTGTCAAAACTATATTAAAAACATAGAAAAGGGTATGACGAAATTATTTTGAGGAGGTTTCGGTAGGCATCTATAAATGTATTTCATATTTCTCTTTTCCAGAATAAATCTACAATATGCAGAGAAGCTATTTGCCTCTACAACTGTAAGATAAAAGGCAAAAATATGATCTGCAGAGCGTTTTGATCTAAGAATGTCATGATAAGAAAGTGAATTATCACACAAATTATTAAGTATGTCTACAGCTGATCTAAATTCATTATACTCATCAAATACAACAAGTTGATGGAATGTTGTACTATCATAACTCTTAATATATCAATTCATTTCTATTCTAAGAATTGTTGTAAAATAACTAGCAAGAAGTACAATATTTTTGCGATCATGAATTGAACATACAGTTAAGTCAATATCATTCATTTTGCAAACTCAACTAACAGATGATCTATATGTATCTTCAAATACATCCGTAATATCATTAGGGATATTCTTAGGCTAATAATAACACTTCTTTATCTGTAGGATAGAATAAAGACTATGGTTATATAAAGTAATGAATGCATCTGTACTACCAAACTATGAATTAGTGATAACTATTCTACCACTACGAAACTATAATTCTACTAATCTTAACATAAATACAATGATTGCTGGGTATTGATTTAAAAATTTTTTTTTCATAGCACATTCTAAAGGTTCTACTAGATCTAATCTTAAAAATAAATTGATTTAAGCATCTGCAAGAGTTTTAAATTCACATCCAATTGGATATGACTTTCTGAATATTTTTGTTGAAATGGACCTTTATTAACTTTACCCATTCATTAACACATTGATTCATCTATATAAAGGTAAAGACTAGGTAGGATAGCTTTTGTAAGATTTTTATTAAATTCATCATAAAACTACCATGCAAAATGAAAGGAATCATCATTTGCTAATACATCTGTTAATGTCAAATATTTTATGATATTTCAAAATTGTTGATGTAACATGTATTGACTAAATTTCAGCAAAATTCCAGCCATTTCTTGTTTAATAGACTAATAATCGCGAATATTAGCACATTTTACATATGTCATAATCGTTAAAATGCCAATAAACCTCATAAATTCTGTTCATATTAAATCACTTCACCCACATTCACATTCACACGTACATTTATTTGTAGATGAAATTACTACTGATATTATAAAATCAATAGATATAAACTGCTCAAAAAATTGTCTAGGTGTTACTTTAGAGATATCGGTAATATATACAACTGATGCATTAGAATAGGAGCGAGATACTTGGTAAGGATCAATCGTAACAATTTTATTAATCCATCAGATATTATTAATGTTATGAACATTTATGGCTTTTCCATCCTTACTATCATCAGTATTACTTGAAATATCTGTTTCACTACCACTTATTCTCTTTTCATCACTTATATCTTGATTGGTGTCTGAACTAGTTTTGACAAAAGTCACAAATTTTATACGGCCTACTGAGACCTCAATTTTATTTTTTAGTTGTGAATCAAGATAAATTACCTAGTGATTATTATCTTGTGCTACTCATAGAACCATTTAGAGTTCTGAATGAGTCGAGTCGAGTTGAGTTTAAGGATCAACTCGATTTAACTCATTTTTTTCGAGTCGAGTCGAATCAAATTTATTTTATAAAATTTTTCAACTCGACTTGATTCGAGTTATATAAATTTTAAACTCGACTCAATTTGACTC